TCCTAGAGAGACACAACCCCCTATCTTCCTGGTTCAGATTCTGTGCTACGGAAGAAAGAAGGAAACCTTCAGCTGAGGACAGACCCACTTTCCCAGACTTCGGGAGAAAAACGTCTCAGCTTTAAACCACAAGATTACCATCCACCCGTAAGAGTTTCTGTCAGAAGGGCAATTAACTTATCTAACATTCTAGATGTTAAAAGGTGTTCAATGGGTATGTTATCTGCTAGCTGGATTACATTACTCTTTTGTTTTCATATTTACATATATGTGTATAGTGTGGGGTGTGTGTGTGTGTGTGTGTGTGTGTGTGTGTGTGTGTTTTACACATGCATGTGGAAGTCCAAGATTGACATCCAGTATCTTCTTGGATTGCTTTCCACAATATTCATTGAGGCACAGTCTATTGATGACCCTGGAACTCATCATTTCAGCCCATCTGGCTAGCCTGCTTGCTCTACTGATTCCCTGTCTGCCTTCTGAGTGGCGGACTACAGCTGGGCCACCAAGACCAGCTATCTTTCACATGGTCTTGGCCTCTGGCTTTAAGCTTTAACAGCAAGCATTTTACCCTCTGAGCCATCTCCTTAGTCACTCAGCTACAGTTCTCAGAGAACATGGCTCACTGTTGAGCAGATACATAGATACAGATACATAGTCTTGGAAATAATTATTGATCTCTTGCTCAAAGTCAGAACCAATGAAAGAATGCATAAAGCTTTTGCCATGGATGGTGCCTCCTAGCACTTGAGAGACAGCAGCAGGTAGATCTACACAAGTTACAAACCAGCCTGGTCTACATAGAGAATACCAGGCCTGTCAGGGATATACAGCGAGACCTAGACTAATAATAATAACTATAATAATAATAACAATGAATAATGCTGACATCACTTTCCATGGATGAAAGGAACAAAACATGACTGTAATTTCTTTGAGTCTTTGCCCTCTCCACTTGTGGCTCTTCAACATGCTGTCACAACCTCCCATAACTGCAGCATTACAGTCATCTAAATAACAGGACCTCTTTAACTGCCCCAATTCAAAGTGCTTGTACTTCCAGATACTAGGCTGCCACCATCCTCCTGAGTTTCCATAAGCCTGTAACACCTGGAAGTAGAATGTGGAAAAGGATACACTTATTTCACACTTGCAGTCTCTGCACTCCTGTCTATGTTCAAAGGGTAACAAATATTTCACTGTTTTCATTAAAACTAGAAGTGTAAAATCCACCTATCTTCTTACCACAGCTGCATCTCTTTTGGGGACAGGCAGGGAGGTAGTGAGTGGGCCCTCTCCTTTCCTAAGCCTTCATAAAAGGTGATCTGCATGAGATTTCAAGGTGCCTAGCAGAGACAGATAACTGTTAATAAAATATAAGGCAAAGTCAGGATTTGTTTTCTATGAGTCAATAAAAGTAAAAACAAAGAGTATTTTTATCTTTTTCCAGCCTAAAAGATTTGGGCCAAAGAATCTTCTCTGTCTGGCTTTCTAAGCACTGATTAAAATAGACTAAGGTCATTAAAAAAAAAAAAAAAAGTAAATCAGTTCCTGACCAGAGAGTTCCCCACATAAACAAGCAGGACATTCCCAGGTCAAGAACAGTCCCAGATTCTTTCTCATTGCCATGTTTCAATTCTCTTTGACTCTTTGATACACACACATACATTTATATACTAGACTTTGTGAGCTGGAAGTATAGCTCAGTGGTAAGGCTTAGCATACAAGAGATACAGGGTTCAATCTCTAATTTGAATAGGCACGGGCACACATGCACATACACACAATGCACAGAAACTTTTAAATGGAAATATGAATTTATTTCTGTTCAAGTTTTATCTTTTTCTCCTTTTTAAAAAGTTTTATGTACGTGTGTATGTGGGTTTGTGGGTGCATATGTCACAGCATGTGTGTAGAAGTCAGAAAACAACTTTTTGTGTAGTGGGTTCTCTCATTCTAAGAAGCAAACTCAAGTTGCCAGGCTTATGTGCCAATGCCTTTACCTACTGAGCTCTCTTGCCAACAACCTTTCTTAAACTTTACTTTTAAATCAGAAATCTGATAAAAGCAAAACAAAATACTATTTGTTCTGTGTGTTTGAGGGCAGTTTGATGTTCATCATATTTTATGCCAGTGTGGCAAACTCCATTTAGAAAAACTGCTATAAAAATTAATTACCCTGGGAGAGGGAGGCATGAGGATTAGAAGTTCAAGGTCTTCTTTAACTACACAGAAAGTCTGAGGATAGAGGCTATATAAGACACTGTTTCAAAAGAAAAATAAAGAATAATAATGAAATATGTTGACCTTCAGAAAAGTCATTCTAGCATTATTAGTTGAAATAATGTTAAAGGTGAATGTTGGATGTTTATAAACAGGGTAACTTGAAAAATGACAAGACTCAAGGTCCAATGTGATAAATCAGACCTGTAGGAGCAAGGTCAGTCAGTGCCAGAAGGAAGACAACTTAGTAGCAGCAGTCCCCACTGCAGATGTCTTGGAAAACATGGCTGTGTTGGACCAAGAAGACATGACAGCACAGAACAAGAAAACCACAGTGTTTTCTCTTCAAAGATAAGAAAAAATAGATCAAATGTCAATTTTTAAGAGAATCCTAGGAGGATTCCTGACCTAATACCCTTGTCCACTGTTTTGATATGTATTTAGGTTTTAGCTCCTCAAAAAGAACAACTCTAAATGGACAGATGTTCTCTTGCTAAATGAGGCCTTAAATATTCACTGCTCAGCCTTTGCTTTCTGCTTTTGTTAGAAATGATTTCACACTGTAGCTTCGACAAGCTGAGAACTTACTATGGAGCCCAGATTTAGCTCAGGAGACTGAGTCTCCTGAGTACTGGATCACAGGCATGAATCACAACTATCAGGTTCCTCTAACTCAAAGGCTGCACAGCATTTGCAATACATTCTTGCAACAGTGCTCTTGAGCAGGCTGCTCTACACTATTCTGTCTGGTTTATGTGTGACTTAGAAACTATTGCCTGTCTCTATATGACCCAGTCTGCACCATCACACCTGACTTTGTAAAGAATTACAGAATTGCTGCTTCAAATATCTGCAGAAACTAAACATTCCCTGTTTGAAAACTACTATAGAACAGTGAATGTAATATCATATATATATATATATATATGTAAGGAATGATCAAAACATAAACCACATTTATTTGTCACCAGCGGCACAGATTTCAGAAGAATTACAAAGATAAACACTGCTCTAAAATATGTAAAAACTAAGAAAATTATTATTATTCACTCCTTTTTTCCTGCTAATATTGAACTGGACAGACACCAAAGATTTGGACACAACTCATTTTCTGTGCAAAAAGTATAACTTAATTTTCAGTATACATCAAACTGTTACTTAGTCCACTTTTGAAAAGGCCACCAACTTCATACTTCCTTTGAATTTCCAAATAAAACAAAAAAATAGCAGAGAGGGGGACTGGAGAGATCACTTGGTGATTAAAAGCACTGGCTGCTTTTCCATAGGTCCCAGGTTCAGTCCCCAAAAGCTACATGGAAGCTCACAACTATCTGTAACCTGGTCCCTATAGGTATATATATGCAGGGGAAACTTTCTCACATAAAATCAATAATAATAGAAGAAAAAAGAGAGTGAGAAAAGAAGATAAAGGAAGCGTCAGTGTAATGAAGTTCACTAGCTCAGAGGATACCAGTCCAGATCCCTCAGGAGCTGTCTTTACAGCAAACTATGAACTATCATTTATACAGATACCCTAAGGAAATAGTGTCCTACCTGGAAAAGCCACAATACAATTGTAATGTGCTGCATATATTGTAAGGAAATGATGTAACCACCAACACTGAAATAGCTATTTCTTACAATGATGGATGTAAGCTACCTCATTCTGTCTGGCTCACACAGAATCTAGTATTGAGTCTTTTTTGTTTTGTTTTTGGTTCTGTTTTTGTTTTTTTGAGACAGAGTTTCTCTGTGGTTTTGGAGGCTATCCTGAAACGTGTAGACCAGGCTAGTCTCGATCTCACAAAGATAACACCTGCCTCTCCCTCCCAAGTGCTGGGATTAAAGGCGTACACCATGAATGCCTGGCTACTATCCACTATTAAGAGAGCTGAGGCCAAGACAAAGGCTGAGGACATACAGCCAGACTTGGCTGCCTAAGCATCATATCATAACTTTAGTCACAACCTTGCCAAGCAAGTACAAACCACACTCTGAAATAAGAATCTTTGAGATTCTTGAAAAATACTCTGAACTTAACACTTCATAGAAACTGTATGACAATGAAGAATGTAGGAACAAGCTTTTCCTTCACTAGATGAGGCAGATCAACAGCATTTGCCTAACATGCACGAGACCATGTGTTCAATGCCCAGAGCCACAAAATGAAAGAGATAAGCAGAGAGCCAATGAGTACACAATGACAATAAAGATTTCATAGACTAGTGTACCCACTTATCAAACTTTTCTTTAGAAATAGCATGTACTCAGTTAATAAGGAAAATATAAGTAAATAATAATGTCACATATAGGAGGTGAGTTTAGCTATAAACACAAGCATCTCTTGAAGGTAATTTAAATGCCAAAACCACCATCTTTCTTTCTTTCTTTCTTTTTTTGGAAGAAATACACTACTGTTAGCAATGTTTTCTTTACTTCTTTTCTTTCTTTCATTTTTCTTTCTTTCTTTCTTTTTTTTTTTTTGAAACAGGGTTTCTCTATATAGCCCTGGCTGTCCTGGTACTCACTCTGTAGACCAGGCTGGCCTCAAACTCAGAGATCTGTCTGTGCTGCCTAAAGGTATGCCATGCCCAGCCTCTTTAGTTTCTTTTTTAAGCCTGTATATTTGAGAAATTATTTCCCAAAAGGTCAATTTCTACTTTCAAAAAACATTTGAGATACTAAAGATGAGAAATATTTAATAAAAATGTATCCTAGTTCTGTCTCCCAGGATATGGGGCTTGTTCCCAGTGTGTTCGAACTCTTTGATTACTTACTTGTTAAAAAAGGGTTCAATGAGCTCTGATCTGGAGGACACACACATTTTTGGAGGACCGAGTAAAGAACCTAGTGAAGAAAAGCAGAACACACAGCACATGATCAATACACAAGTGTGCTCATTCATCAAGTGTAAAAGTTACTCTTCTGCTCTACACACCTATATGGCAAGTGTCAGCAGTTCCTTCCCAAGGGTATCCTCCTCATCTCCTCTAGCTCCCTCTCAAAACTCTCTCGCTTCAATAAGGATGTCCAGATCCTAGGACAGTGGTTGTGATGCACAGACTATCTGTCATCCCTTCCCTACTCCCACATGGAAGCTAAACCCCAAGCAGTGGTATCCATAAAGAGCTATTTGGGAGGCAAATAAGAGACCTGATTCCTTCAAAAGAAGCATGGGTGTGGCTGCTCAGTGGTGGTGCACACCTTTAATCCCAGAACTTGGGAGGTAGGACCAGCCTGTTCTACAAGAAGCATGGGTGCTTCCTCTCTCTACCACTCTACTATGTGACGACATGTGAGTGACAACTGTCTGAAAGGTGGTGTCCATGGATGGGTCCTTGATCTGGGCTTCCTACTCTCTAGAACCATGAGAAAAATGGGTCTGTTGTCTAAGCATGCATGGTCTTTGGAAATTTGTCACACCAGGCTAAGCTAACAGACAACAGGTAAAACCCACTCTGCTTAACAGAAACATATCTCAAATACCTAGGTAATTTGCCATGGAGATGAAGCAGAGTCCTGTGATGTAAGCGTCATACCCTGCCTCATGGAGCTGCTCAGAAGCTGTGTCATAGCTTGGAAAGCCTTCTGCACTTTCTAAAGAGAGAAAAAAAGAAAAAAAAAAAAAAAAAAAAAAAAAGAGTATTACCAAACATGAAAACTAGCAAGCATGGTGTCCTGCTGAATCCAAAATGCACTTTTATGTGTTACAGATGCAGATGTATCTGTACCTTATTTCTCAGTTCTGTGCACATAAGGCCTTATAATATGAGATAATAAAGTCCCTGAAAATGAGAACTTTAGTTCAGACCAGAGAAAGGTCTGTTTCCTTATCAAGGTTCGGTTGTCTGTAGAACTCCTCAGCCACATTGGCTGGAAACATTTGCAATCTTGTGTTTCCCATCCTGTGACAATTCCTACAGTACTGTTCTTACCATATATGTAGGACATAGCACATTAAGCAGGAGTCCTAGCTGGGTATGGTAGCCACACCTGTAATCTCTGCACTTGAAAAGCTGAGGCAGAAGAACCACAGCAAGTTTGAAGCTAGTCTAAGCTAAATTGTGAGTTCTAGCTAAACACTGGCTACAAAGTAAGACCCTATCTTTAAAAATAAATAAATAAACTAATAAAAACCTAGTAGGACTTAGAGGTCATACAGTGTTCATCACTCATGCACAATGTGACCCTGGGCAAGGCACTTTACCTCTAAGCCCCCAGTTTTATAAAAACGAGAGGATAATCAACCTTCCCTCATAATGCTTTTGGGGGACATCAAATGTCATGGTATTATTATAGGTTTTATCTAGTGCCTGGCACAGGTCATATGCTCATAACCATTAGTATCCCAGGTAGTCCCTATAAAACGAAGAGTCCAGCTGAATATTGGCAGGGCCCAAGCACAGTAAAGACAACAGCATACTACACCCCCAGAATAGGTCAAAACTTACTATAACACTGCCCTTAGTCCACAGGGCCACTACACTACAAAAATCATTTTATAAAATAATGCTGAGTTGTGCTGATACACACAAGTGCTCAGAGAATGTGAGAGAACCATCTGCTTTTGAGTAAATTCTCTACCAGAGAAATAGGAAAATAATAGAACAGGATACTGCTCTTACTCATAAGTAATTATTTCCTAGAATCAATCTTGAAATGTTAGAAAGGCCACTGCTTCATGAGAAACATGAGCAAAACTGATGATGGAAGCTCATACTCTCCAAATCAATTATTTCATTATACTGTTATACGAAGGGTATGGGTTTCCTTTCCCTCTATCTGCCCAGTATCTTCATACTTCCTTTCTTGGACTATTACCAAGAAGGGAAGCAAGGAGCTATGACTCTGTCTACCTTAATAACTCCCATCACCAATTTCTGAATCATTAGTGCTATTATGGGTGTCTTTAGCAGTTTTCTAGCCACTGGTAATGGAATGCTAATTTCTTGTCAGCAATACAATGTGCATAACAGGACCAAGGACACAGTGCCCCAAAACACATGGGTAGAGGTCACACATACCCACACAACCCATCTGATACCAAGAGTTCCTCCTGACTTCTGGCTTTCCTCAATGATATTTTTTCTCTGGCCCAAACTAGCTCTGAGGACAAAGAGGTGCACTCTCATCTTAGCAGCATCCCAGCTCTTGGGTTTTCTGAGACAGGAGATGTTTTTGTTGCATCTCTGATGATTAATCACTGGCTCTATCTTGCTAAAATAATGCACCAGATGAAAGGAGTTTTGAGAAAACTCCAAGCATTAGAATTAAAAGCCTTGAAACTTCTCTGTGAATCCTTACCCAACTCTATTAATATGATGCAAATGTACCTAGACGTGGAATTAGGATACCATCTTTATTCAGGAAACAGTCATCCAGCACAGGCATGAATCTTAACCCAGCTAAAGTCTACAAGCAACACAATATGGTTTCAGAGATGGTTCATATTCTTTCTATAGAACTTATCAGTGATTTCCAAAGTTTGAATGGTTCCAGGGTTAATATTCTTACCAACTTTAGGAGGGTAAAAAGGTGTTTCTTTTAACCGCTTTTCCAACTCTGCAAGGGATGTGTTGTTAATGATATCCTGCAAGGCAGGAGGTAGAGAATTAGAAAATTTCATCTCAGAACAAGAGATTAAGGAGAGCCACTTCAGGAGAAGCAAAAAAGCATCCTATACTACCCTCTTGTGACCTTAAGAGAAGCAGGAGCCAGTGTTTGTTCCACATGAAAAAAAGGCACACCAGCAAGACCAAGGTTGTACTGACAGGAATAATGACACCATATTAAAACCTACAAATGTAGGCAGGCCTAGTGTTACTCACCTGTAACCAGCTACTTGGGAAGCTGAGGAACAGGAACGAAGAGTGGAAGGACAACCTGGTTACTAAAGCAAAACCAGGAAAAAAACTGTGGAAGGGGGTGAAAAAAACAAGCTTCCAGGTTTGCTGGGGGTATGGGGGGATAACACAACTTTGGCAGGAACTGTGTTAGTACACTGCTCAAAGGCTCAGAAAGTTTCTAACTTCAAGGATTGCTGACAGGGACACAGAGCCAGAAGACACTGTCTCCGCATACTGCTCCGGAGGATGCAGAAAGTCCTTCATAAGCATATAAATGATCATACATTAGTTTAAATTATCTTTATTAGAAATTATTCCAAATATGTAAAATAAGGAGGCAGGTGGAGAAAGGACAAATTGATTGCATGTATAACCTATTCAAAAACTTAAAATACAGGGTGAGTGTAATGGTTCAAGCCTATAATCCCAGCATTCAGGAGGCAGAGGCAGAAGGATCTCAATGAATTCAAGGCCAGTCTGGTCTACAAAGCAAGTTCTAGGACAGCCAGGTCTACATAGAGAAACTCTTCCTCCAAAAAAAGGAAATACAAACATACATACTTAACATATAAAAAAATTAATAGCTAGTGTGGTTGTACACACTTGTCATCCTAGCACTAGAGAAGCTGACACAGGGAAGACTTGCTTGGGCTAAAAAGTAAGCAAGTACCTAAAAAACTAAAAGTAAATTTTAAAAAAATATGTATTTTAACATTTAGAAACTTACACTCAAAAAACAGAGGAAAAATAAAGATAACTTCACATTTTGATATATTTATTTCTGAACTTTTCCAATTACTCTTTTCTTTCTTTCTTATTTTTAATGTGTTTGAAATAACATTTAAATAGACCAGAATTCCAAATGTATTAGTGTTAATCCAAAAAAGTTTCACATAGAGCATCATGGCACATGCTTGCAAACCAACATATGGGAGGCAGAGGTAGGAGGGTCAGGAATTCAAGGTTACTACTCTCAGCTACAGGGTGAGTTCAAGGCAAGCCCAGATATACCAAGACTATGTCTCAAACAAACAAAAATTGCAAATTATTTATTATGATAGTTCAGATATAAATAATACCTTGAAAGGCTGTGTGCTGGCCATCAACTTAGTATCCAAGAGTCTGCAACAAAATAAATTTTAATAAGGTAAATAAAATATATATCAATATTTAAAATGTACTTCGTTAAAACATAAAAATACTTAAAGTGTTTCATGAATAAAAGACTTGGTGACATATACTTCATACATGACATACTTAAAAAACAGTTCATAAAGCTTAGAAGTGGACAGATGAAGCATACACTGGGCAGTGTGAACCTAGTGGTAATGTGGTTGATGAGCACAGTCCCATGTGCTGGCTTCACTCATCAGACTACTGTAGATAGAGCCAAAGGAACAGGCTCTATGCCTGTACCTGAAGAATGAGGATAACATCCATTTTGAAGGTGAGGTAACACTATATGTTTTCTGTTCTATGAGGTCTGCCCTCCCAAAACGGCCACCACTCACTGCTATCATCTGGTTTATACAATTTGAATTCTTATGGGGTCAAAATCTTCATTGGGAAGTTTCATGCTATTTACTGTGCCAGCTAAGCTCCACTGTCAAACTGGGTTTGGAATTACCTAAGAGGAAGTTTCCACAAACTTCTAGAAACCAGGAAAAAAAAATACACACACACACACACACACACACACACACGCAGTGCTGGGGTCTTCCTGGCCTGTGTGTATGTGGAGCTTGACTCTATGAGTGTAGTGAGATAGTCCTTCCAATATGAGCCTACATCCCTTTCCATTAGGACATACTGTACCCTCAAACTGAGAGCCATTTTAAACGTTTCCTCCCATGAGCTGATCTTCTCGGGTATGTAGTCACAGAAATGACAAAAAAGCAGAACACTTAACTACTCACTTACAGGGACCAGATATACTAAATAAGACACTAACCACTTAAAAATTCTATATATATATAAATTTAGTTCCACATAAACACTATGGCTAGTACAGCAATAGCACAGATGTAAGTATGACTAGCTGGCTACCCTCACTTGCCCTTCTTCAAAAGACCTAAAACTGTCTTACCATATAGGCTCCATGCATCTGACATGTGGATGATCACACACGTGACATATGACATAGCCAAATTAGCATGCAATGCAATGCTGACTGTGAAAAATACTAACAATACTGGTACTGATGATGAAGTTGGGGGAGGAGAGTCTCTAGCCATACAATTCTTAACTGAAGAGATAGTACTCTCAGTTGGGACACATCAACAATTGAAAAGGTACATCCACATGTGTGAATGGCCAGACCAGTCCTTCAGATAGAAGGATGCAGGACAGGAAAAAGGGAGGCATTAGCTACTTTCTACTTTCACGCTAAGTTAGAATCTGCCCTTTAATGGATGATCACACTAGTCATACATTTAAACAGTCAACTATGACAAATTTGGGGATGTTCAATCTATTAAATCCCTTCCCAACTTGTAGAACTGCCTACTTGTGTTGCATATACCTCAGTGAGTATCTCAAATATCAGGGGGCTCTTGAAGAAGGCTTACCTAGGGAAGACACATGTTGTCATCTCTTTAAACTCATTCAGGCCCTACAAAGCAAAAAAAAAAAAAAAAAAAAAAAAAACCTGTTACTGACTTTCAAGCAAACCAGAGTATTGTTAAACACACATGAGAGCAGCTCCAGCTCTCAGCTATTTTCTCAAATGTTAACCGTCATGCCTCACATGGGCCTCAAGCTGAAGAGTAAAATCCACTTCTAATTAAGAATTATTTCTTAAAAGCTACAGAGATGACTGAGAAGTGAAGAGCACTTGTTGCTATTTCAGAGGACCCAGGTTAGGTCCTCTAACAAACACAGTGGCTTACAAACACCCACTAACCTATTTCCGGAGATCCAATGCCCTACTCTGACCTCCTCAGGCACTAGGCACACATGTGGCACACACACATATATGCAGGCAAGACATTCATACACATAAAATAAAATAAATATACCTTAAAACAAACGAACTACTTTTTAAAATAAAACCTGAGCCAGTCTTGGCACTTGCAAAGACATACACAAATTTTTAATTAAGAAAAAAAAAGGGACAGTAACATGGCTTGACAGATTAAAGGTACCAGATGCCAAGCTTGACAACCCAAATTTAATCAGAGCCCCATATAGTGGAGAAGAGAACCAACTCCCACAGTTGTGTCTGACCTCCACAGCCACACCTCAGCAACACACATATATACACAAGAGAATAAACAAAATTAGAATTTTAATGCAGTAAAAATTAAATAAATAATGAATTTAGGAATATCTTCCATTTCTTACTGGGAATTATGAGGCTTAGACAAATAATTTCATAACCAAAAGATTCTATAGCTGAACAAAAGAGAGAGTGGTTCTGTCACATGTAAAGTACTGTACCCAAGGTACAGACTTATCCTAATAGTGACACTAACTAGTGTCACTACAGTGACTGATGCGGGAATGGTTGTACTGTAAAGCAGCTTATATCTCTGAGCCCATTTCTGGTTTTTAGTTAAAACGGCCATAAACACACAGACCTTGTAACATGTACATTATTCCTGCTCTAAGTATCTACATTATATTATTTCTTAGGTTTACTTTGATCAGGAATTCTAGAGCAGATATGAAAGTAATTTAGTTTTGAATTAGTTTATTTACATACATAATTGCCATGTTAGCCTGGGTAGTAACACTCGACCCTTTGTAAACTACACTTCTTTTCAAAGTCATTCATGCTTCATAGCAAGCTGCCATTTCCAATTATCTTTTCAAGCCTATAAACACAGACTGTATTTAGCTTGAAACACACACCAGCTTCTCAATGGCCCCCTTTTCATCAGTGGACAAAATATGAACAAGGCTAAGTCAAACAAAAAATGTCCTAATGACCACTGTTATTCATTCACCACCACTAAAAAAGCTTTACAAGCAAGGGCAAAGTAGAAATATGGCCACCTCCAGGGCAAACACAGAATTCTGGGCCAACACCTACAATGTCATGTTCAAGCATCAAAAGGCCCCATAAAAAAACTCTCCCCTAAATGCCAAGGCACGGACTCTTTCTTTTCATCCTGGCATGTGTGTGTGTATAGTATGTATATATTCAGTGTGAGCACAAGCCTGCTTCACTGCACTCATGGAAGTTAAAGCAATGTCTGATGTGAGCATTCTTCCTCCATCACATAAGAGCCACGGTCTCTTGTTCAATATATGCCAGGCTGTCTCAACCACAAGCTTCCAGGCATTTGCCTGTCTCCACCTCCCATATTGTGTTAAAATTATGGACTACAGATGGACTACTGTGAATAGCTTTACATTTATATTTTAAAAATACAGTACTAGGAGCTGGAGAAGTAGCTCAGCTAAGAACACTGGCTGTTCTTTCAGAAGACTGAGATTCAATTCCCAGAATCAACATGGAAGCTCAGAACTGCCTGTAACTCCAGTCCCAGGGGATCCAATGCCCTCTTCTGGCTTCTGAGGGTACCAGGCATTCAAGTGCTGCATAGTCATACAGGCAAGGCTTGGATGAGAATGACCCTCACAGGCTCACATATTTAAACATTTGATCCACAGTTAGTGAAACTATTTCAGAAGGAATAGAAGATGGACTTGGTAGAGGTGTGTCACTGGGTTTTGAGGGTTCAAAAGTCTATGTCAAGACCAATGTCTGTCTTTCTCTGTGCCTGCAGATCAGGATGTAAAGTTCTCAGCTACTACTCCAGTGTCATGCCTGTTTGCTTCTAACCATGATGATCATGAACTCACTGTCTGAAATTGTAAGCAAGCACCTAATTAAATGCTTTTTTTCTTTTTGAAGAGTTGCCTTGGTCATAGTGTTTCTTCAGAGCAATAGCACAGAGACTAAGACACAAGGAAAACACCTATGCTGGCTGGTCTTCTGTCAACTTGACACACAACCTAGAGTTATCTCAAAAGATGAAATCTCAATTGAGAAGATGCCTCCATAAGATCCAGCTGTAAGGCATTTTCTTAATTAGTGATTGATGGGGAGGGCCCAGGCCATTGTGGGAGGTACCATCCCTGGCCTGTTGTCCTGGGTTCTATAAGAAAGCAGGCTGAGCAAGACATGGGGAACAAGTCATTAAGCAGCACCCCTCCATGACCTCTGCATCAATTCCTGCCTTTAAATTCTTGCTGTGTTTGAGTTCCTTTGATGATGAACAGCAATATGGAAGTATAAGTCAAATAAACCCTTTCCTTCCCAATTTGCTTTTTGGTCATGGTGTTTTGTCAAAGCAATAGAAATTCTAACTAAGATAACACCCATACACAAAAAATATGTTTTTCATCTTAAACATGGTGCCAGAAAATATAATGTTCTATTATCTTCAATAGATTGCCTCCTATTGCTCTCATCATTTTTTTCATAGCTGAATAAAAGAACAATTTTCTCTCTCTGATAATGCAGTGGGGAGAGGAAAGTTAGTGGGGGGGGGGACTGGCTGGTTGGCTGGCCGTGTGTATAAGAGTATGATCACCCCAGTTTGATGAGATAAAACTGCGCTGTAATACAAATCACCTGCTTCCTGGTAGAATCTTAATTAGATTTCAAATTCACATTTTCTGAGCAGGCACATACTAAAGTGAATCTTCCTCAGATCTAATCATTTAGAATTTGTTGCGCCACGTAACCCAGAAAAACGATATGTAACATGGAGGCACCAAAACCCTGACGCACTGGCCACAGAACAGTTGGAGTCTAGCAAGGCAGCAGGCAGAGAAGAACTGTGTGGCAGGAAAGCTACAGTAAAACAGGCACAAGTAATCATGCACCCACACCACACAAAGTGCTTAGGAAACACCTCAGCCTGTGCTGGGAACATGGAGCCTCAAAGAGGGTGGACAATAAGATATCCAGCTCCAAAGAGTCAACCAATAGCAGATGAAGAATGTGGGATTACTGGGGAATTTCGGACAGGTCGGTATGAAGAGAGCCACACAGCCAAAGACACTCATCTGTTCAGTCAGTATTTGAGGACTTCCATGTGCCTGCCTGTTGAATGTCCAGAAGCACAACATTAAATATGTTTTCTCAGTCCTCTTGGGAACTTCATTACTTTATAGTGAGGAAAGAAGTTGCTCCGATGGTCTCCCTGGCCAGTGAGAAATGAATGGCTAAAACAACCATTAGCTCTTTAGATAGACGATTCAAATGTCTGACCATCACTTTTGCTAGAACCCTTGCATCCTATTGGATGAAGGAGCTGTCATGGAAGTGGTGGCAACCTTAAGACCAAAGCCATAGGACAAGGGACAAAAAGACCCACTGTACAAGTAGTTGAGTATATATCCTCCAGAAGATTATCGAAGGATTGATGAAACAATATGATTTAGGAAACATCTAGAGAGATTACAGATATGTAAATAAGACCAAATTCTTACAGAAGAGCCAAATCTTCCAAAAAGCAGCAAAACAGGAGTCCAACCGCAAGTAATTCAAAGCAGGGTCTAGGACAGGAGATAGGGAGCAGACTGTAATCCTAGCACTTGGGTCTGAGTTCAAAACCAGTCTGGACTACATAAAAAGGGGTAGGAGAGACAGCTCCTGGATAAGAACGATTGCTGGAAATAGATCCATATCTATTGCCATGCACAAAACTCAAATCCAATGGGATGAAAGAACTCAATAAAAATCCATCCACAAGATGTGCCTATCACCATGGGACCATCCTGAGTGCCTGCCTGCCAGATCTTTGACGGCCATCGCCGAGCCACTGCCAGATGAGACCTGCTAGAGAGTTTGGACTACCCAGAGCTAAAGACATCAAACTTCAGACCAACCTAAGCCCACCGGGGGAGTACCATAGAGAGAGACCCCACCTGCAAGAAAAGATGGGAAGATGGCAATAAAAGAAAACACCTAACAATAGAAAGACAAGCATGACACCACCAGAATCTAGGGATTCTACACCAACTAGACCTGAACACCCCAAAGCAGATGAATCAGAAGAGAATGACTTAAAAAAACAATCTTCATAAAAATGATAGAGGCCCTCAAAGACAATGTGAGAAAATCCTTAAAGAAATGAAAGAAAGAAAAAAACAAACAAAAATTTGGAAGAAATTAACAAACCTCTTAAAGAAAATACAGAAAGCCAAGAAAAAATAATTCAACAGGTGAAGGAAACAGTTCAAGACTTAAAAGCTGAAATAGAAAAAATAAAGGCAACACAAACTGAAGGAATGCTGGAAATAGAAAAATTGGGCAAACAATCGGGAACTACAGACACAAGAATAACCAACAGAATACAAGAGACGAAAGAGAGAATCTCAGGTGCTAAAGATAAACTAGAGAAATAAATTCATCCAACCAAAGAAAATCTTAAATCCAACAAATCCTTAACATGAAACATCCAGGAAATATGGGATACTGTGAAAAAGCCAAACCTAAGAATAATAGGCATAGAGGAGAAAGAAGAAGCCCAGCTCAAAGGTGCCGAAAACATATTCAACAAAATCATTGAAGAAAACTTTCCCAATCTGAAGAAGGACATGCCCATGAAAGTACAAGAAGCATACTGAAACCAAATAGGCTGGACCAAAGAA